AAATTGCATATTATATTAATATACAGTATGTTTGTTTCTTCTCATTTTGAGTCATCCCACATATGCAAATAAGGTACCAGATATTTTATCCCATCCATGACATTATGGTTAGTCTACTTTGAGAAAGCAACTCTTCCCCAGTCATATTTTGGGTATCTTTCAACCTGAGGGGCTCATCTTTTAGTACTAATCTGACAATGTTTCACTGCTATCCACATGGTTTTCAGTGGCTAATTTCACATTTGAGAGCTAACTATAAGGTCAGTATAAGGTCAGAGTAACTATAAAACCCACCAGTACACCCCAAGGGATAAATATGGGGCTGTCTCTACTCCCGTAAAGACTTGGGGCATTTCTACACTGTCCCAGAAGGTCCCTATGAGTCAGAATTAACTCAATGGCCTTGGCTTAATCCCTCAGAAATGGACAGCCTGTTCCTTCTCTGTAGTCTGTTCCTAGTCTGGAACTCCAATGTAACCTGTTTAACATGAGTGACCCTGCTCTTTGAGATATTGCTTAAATAGCTGCCAGCATCACAGCAACACACAAGCCACCAGATTATGACAAACTAACAGAGAAGTGGTGGTTCCTAAACGATAACAAATTCATTTTGATTATATAACATACTTGAAAAGACTTTCAAAAACACAGTATTATACTATTAGCGTGAGAAACTCTTAAACTAAAATATGCAGTTAGCAGTAGATGTAATAAAGCTTACCTTGGAAAAGTCATCAATAGCCAACACTTGGTTTGATATTTCATGCATCTCACCCCTCTTGAAATATGTGTCTGCATCTGTAGGTTTGCATTTAATTGCCTGAGAATAGTTTAGAATTGCCAAAGTAATATCATTTTTTTGTCGGTAAATTTCAGCCTTTGACAAATATGCATCTGAAGATTTAAAGAGGAAATTTCAATGCTATGGTCCTTTTTATTATGATAATTTTAAAACATTAATCTCCCTCCCTGCAAAAAGTAATCTCAGGATAATTTTCTCCATTGTACTTTCTTAAATACTTAAATTTAAAAATATGTAAAGAATGTAAAATTTCTTTCAATGGCAAGGTAAATACTTATTTGTGTTCAAAGTATTCTCAATTTGAAGAGACAAAAATTATCTTTTGCTTATGTATAGGTCTGAATATTTATTAACTTATTTTTAATTCTTAACACTTTTTGTCTTGATAAAACATACATAATTAAATTTATCATTTTGTGTGTGTGTGTGTGTGAGAGAGAGAGAGAGAGAGAGAGAGAGAGGGTTCCCTTTTAAAAAAAAACAAAAAAAAAAACAGGAAACGCTCCGCTGGATGGAGCTTTCATAGTCCATTTTCCCACTAGGCGTGCACCAAGCAACTCTCTCTGAGTTAGTGCACCCAGTGGCGTCGCCTGGGAAGGTTCTCTCTGGTCACAGTGAACTTTTTCATAAAAGCTGTTTTGCTCAAACCTTGTTTTTTTGTGATTACCAATTTAAAAGAAGATCATGCAGTTGTGAAATTTTGTTTCCTGCTTGGGAAAAAAGCTACAGAAACTGATGTGATGTTGAATCCAGCTTACAAGGACAGCACTATGGGAAAAACTAAAGTGTATGAGTGGTTTTCTCATTTAAGAAAAAGTGAAATGTTGACTGATGAAAAACCTCATTCTGAATGTCCGTCAACTTCCCAAATGGATAAGTTTGAAAAATGTCTCCAAAAATGGAATCACAGATTTGACAAATTTATTAAGTGTAATGGAAAGTACTCTGAAGGTGATAGGTTGTTTTGTAAAAACAATTTAAATACATAGCTTTGAAAAAATAATTCCGTTTTAGGGGTTCACACCCCTTTGTGTGTGTGTGTGTGTGTGTGTGTGTGTGTGTGTGTGTGTGTAGAGAGAGAGAGAGAGAGCGCCATGGATGGTCAAAAGTACAAACAAGTCTGTCTTGAAAGAAATGCAGCCAGAGTGCTCCTTAGAGGCAAGGACTTTGTCAGGAGAGAAGAGTCCCTGTAAAAGGAAGTCATGCTTGGTAAAATGGAAGAGCAGTGGAAGAGGACGGCCCTCAATGAGACGGAATAACACAGTGGCTGCAAGCATAGAAACAATGTTGAGGATGACACGGGACCTGGAAGTATTTCATTCTGTTGGGCATAGCATCGCTATGGATCAGAACCAATTCAATGACACCTGACAACAACAACAAGCATATAATTTAGTGGCATTAAATACAGTTACCATGTTGGTAACCATCACCATTATCTTTGAGTTTGCACTCAATAATGGATAACTCTCCATTTCCTTCTTCACTTACTTTACCACACATGCTTTCAACTTATCCCCATGTTGTAACATATGTCAATATTTCTTTATTTTTATGGCTGAATATCCCATCACTATATGTGTGTATACATTTTGTTTATTCATTTATCCTTTGATAAATGTTGGGTTGTTTCTACATTTTGACCATTTTGAATAATGCTGTGAACACAACACACAATTTTCTTTCCCTCTTTTAAATTATTTCTATTTGATCTCTCTTTTCGATTATTTTGGGAGCCCTGGTGGTGTAGTAGTTATGCATTGGGCTGCGATCCCCATAGTCTGCAGTTTGAAAGCACCAGCAACTTTGCTGAAGAAAAATTGGGCTTTCTACTCCCATAAACAGTTACAGTCTCAGAAACCGCAGGGGGTGGCTATGAGTCAGCATTGACTCGAGATTAGTGAGTTTGGTTTGGGTGGGTGGGGGGGGTTCTCCCAATTATTTTAGTTATATACCATTATAGAAGGAGCCCTAGTGGTGCTGTCAGGTAAGCAGTGGACTGCTAACCATAAGGTTATTGGTTCTGACCCACCATCCTTCAGCAGGAGAAAGATGAGTCTATCTGCTTCTATAAAGATGTTCAGCCTTTTGGAACCCTTATATAAGGTCACTGTGAGTTAGAATCTACTTGATGGCAGTGTTTTCGGTTCTTTGAGTTGCTTTTATTATAAATGAGCCCTTACTGAGTATTTTTATTATAAATGGTCTCTATATATGGACATCCAAGTTATTTATTCACAGCAATCTTAAATTGGCTATTCAAAAAGCCCACTCAACATTTACACATGCAATTGCTTTTAAAGTCATCCAATATATCTAAGTACAAGTATATATGGTTTTAGCCATTTTGAGCTTATCTGCTTTGCATTTCCTGTACTCTTTTTGTGCCAGGCAACTAGAGCCTTCAGTTTTCAGGCAGATGCTGCCACTTTGGAGCCTTGCGTGGTTTCTGAGACAGACCAAACAAAAATGCCCGACTTGCATGAGTCCTTTTGGTAGCAACGGCCAGGCTAGAACAGGTGCACACAATAATTTTCAAGTAAAGTCTATTCGACTCCCTGTGGAGCTAAAGACCAGGGTCACTCTGGGAGGATGTAAGTTGCCACAGTTTTAAGACAGGCAGCGAACGAGGGAGAGGATGGTGCCAACCTAAGCAAATAGAACACTAGAACTTGCCTATCACTTTAAAGTAGTGTCTTTCTTGATTCAACATTCCCTTAGCTATTATAAATCTTTGGCTTCCAGAGTTGTGACAAAATTGATTCTATAGATTCTGTTATTTTGACAGGAGAAGTGTGTTTCTGGTGGAGAGGCAGGGAGGTCAAGAACATGAAGCTGCTTATATTGCCATTGTGTTCATCGTTTCTTTTTTTTTTTAATCAATTTATTGGGGCTCTTACAATTCATCACAATACATAGATCAATTGTGTAAAGCACACTTATACATTTGTTGCCCTCATTATTCCCAAAATTCGCTTTCCTCTTGGGTTCCCGGAATCAGCTCATTTTCCTTTTTTCCCCTCCCCCTCCCTCTCCCTCCCCCATGAACCTTTAATAATTTATAAATTATTATTATATCTTATATTACACTGCCCGGCGTCCCCAGTAAGAAATTTATTTAACACAGTGCATACTAGTGACATATTTCAAACCATGATGAGTATTTTTGAAACAGCATCGTACTCTATGAGTCTTGAACATACAGTATCAAAGCATTTTTAAGATGAAGCTTAGGAAAGTCATCATTTTTTCTAGCATTTCTATATATGTATTTATTTATCTTTGTAACATTAGTAAAAGGAAAGAGCTTAGGGAAAGACATAGACAGTATGGCTTTTTCCACAGACAACCCACCTGCATTATTTTTATTATATTTGTTAATAAAATTCAAGTCATCCAGAGCTTCACTAATTTTATCTTGGAAAAGATAAATGAAATGTCGGTGCCAATAGGCATTGAGAAACAATGGCTCCAAGGATATAGCCTAGTGAAAAAATATATATTCAATTAAAGTTGGTTTGTTATATAGAAGTTTCTTAACATAAAATTTTCAACCATTCTTGACCCAAATGGTTTAATAAATGTATTATGTGTAACTTAATATCTCCCAATCTGACCAAAAATCCCTTGTGCTTCTTGTATTAATTATTTGAAAATGTCATTATTCCTATTTTCACAGTCCTACATGATCTAGTAAATTATTCATTATTCAAAGCTCTAGCATAAATTACTATACTCATATTAATTCCAAGTAGGAGTAAAAGTGAATAGCTACTATGATTGGACAAAACTTACTTCCTGTAGATCACTCATGGCACTCTTCAACTTTCCCAGTTTCCTGTATATGGCTCCACGCCTACAATATGAAAATGCAGAAGGTTTTCTCTTACTTATTTCTTCAGTCAAAATCTCCACTTCAGATTTATAGTATTTAATCACTTCTGGAGGAAGGTCAGAGCCCATGAAATCAGTTAGTTCTATTTTGGGGTATTCTTTTACTTCAGTCTTTTCTTGTTGAGAAGATTCTTGTCTTGTCTTAATAACTTTCTCTGGTGTGGCTTTCGGTCGAATTTCAGGCGGAATCCACATATTAAAAACCCATGTCAGAGGATCAGTAGTTCTTGGAATTCCTCCTTTCTTTCGGACAAACTCATCAAAATCTAAATGTGACGGTAGACTGGGACACCGGATTTGACGCTCATACAAGGGAACTTTGAGCAGATATTTCTTCTGTTCGCGAAGCAATCCAAGAGACGATGATCTAGTTTTTAAAAGAGTAAGTCTTAATGGCAAAAATATAATTATAACTACAAAATCAAGTCAACTATACACAAAGTTACTATTTTTATCTGCTATTGTAAAACTAAAAATGCATACTTCTTTCACACAACCAAATCCTCTCTTTGCTGGACCCTCAGTAAAGTTTATGGAAGCAGAAGGAACTGTTTGTAAAGATGCAGCCTCCCCAAGAACACCGATATAATGGGATCACTGATTTAATTGACGGTCTTTCCTTGTCTTTCTCCCCTAACAAAATGCATAACAATGGAGAATTAAGGAGATAAACCTTGATGTGAGTGAGAGTGCAAGATAATGGCAGCCGAATGTAAGAGAGACAAACTTAAGAAAGTAGAAAGATAAACATCCAAACATCGTATCTATTGCAACACAATTTCTGTGCAGCAACCTTTACTGTGGGCCAATGTTGTACTGACTAGAGGCATAGGCAGATCATTTTACAAATATTTACTGAGTGTGTGGTATGACAAAGTCCTAAACACTAGGACACTAGGGAGGAAAAAAAAGGAAGGTACATTTTCTTTCCTTTCTTTCTGACATTCTCCTCTTTTAGGATAAGCCACCAGCCACCAGCAGATACCCTGCCTAGAATGCATAACTTCTTAATCCTATTGTTCTGCTCTTTCTCTCCCATTCTCCACATGGCAGTCAGCATTATTTTGTGTATTGTGTTGATTTTTTAAATAAATATTAACTAGACCTCGTAATTCCCTCCAAGAACTTCTATAGTACTAGAATACAAATCAAAATTTGACCACGCTTTACAGTTAAACATGATGAGGCACTTGCATGTAGCATGCTTCCCACTGCTCTATCCTCTCACTCCCTGTCCCCCAGCCACATCATCTGTGAGTATGTCATTGCACTTTCCAGGTCTTCTGACTGGTTGGCCCCTTCTCATTCACAACGTTAACCAAATGGTACCAGACGTTTGTGCCTAAGGCCTTGCTTGTGCCTTCAGATTCAACTCTACCCTTCTCCAACTTGCTCTCTCTCCTAGAAAATTAAACATTTCAATTACATATGTTGGGCTGAGTTAGAGAAACAAAACCAGTGATGCTTATGTGTGTGTGTGTGTGTGTGTGTGTGTGTGTGTGTGTGTGTGTGTGTGTGTGTGTAAAGAGAGAAATTTATATCAAGAAAATGCTTTGCAAAACTGCAGAAGCTAGTAAATCCAGTCCAGTTCAAATCCACAGGTCAGATCTTAAGCTGGAGGCATCTCCTGATTCCCAGAGTTAGTGACTGATGAGTCAGGAAAACAAGCAACTATATCAATCAGCAGGAAGACCACAGCCTGGTGGATGAACACAAAGGTCAGCAAGTCAGACATAAGGGCGATGGCAGGATGCTGATGGCTCAGGGTCAGCAGGCAATATGGTGAGCCATTCACTCAAGTCCGAAGAACTGGAGGACAACCGGCCAAATGCAGGATCCAGACTCAGCAAGAAGCAAACAAGTTCTCCACATTGTTTACTTATATAAGAAGTAAGTCACACCCTCAAGGAATCATAATCAAGGCTGTGGCCTGAGTAAAGGGTTGCAGCTGATTATCTAATCACAGAAGATCTCATTGTCAAGTTTATTACATTGTGTTAGTTTTTAAGCAAGTGTAATTCAATTTTCATGTATTTGACTTTACCCCCTTAATTTTGCTATTGATTGTGATCTGAGAAGATACTCTGTAGTATTTCATGGTTTTTAAATTTATTCAAGCTTGCTTTCTGACCTATTCTTTGTGGTCTATTCTAAAAATTGTTTCGTGTACACTGGAAAAGGATATGGTGCTGTGGTTCTGTGCAATGTGCTGCATATTCATGAGGTCAAGTTGGCTTACAGTGTTTGGTTCTTCAGTGTCGTTGTTGAGCTTCTTTGTATTTGTTCTGTCCTTCATCAAAAGTGGTGTATTAAAATTTCCCACTATCATTTGTCTACTTCTGCCTAAAATCCATTACAGGTCGATGTATTTAAGGCTCTTTCATCGGATGCCTAGTGTCTTGAGGCTATGTCCTTGTTGGATTAACCCTTTAATCCTTCCCTGTCTCTTATGCTGGTTTTGACTTAAAGTCTATTTCATCACCAATAATATTACCACTACTGCTTTTTCATTGCTACAAGCTTGATACATTTTCTCATCTTTTGACTTTTAGTGTATTTTTGTGTTTGTGACTAAGGTGTGTCTCTTGAAAACATCACCTTGATGAGTACTGTTTTTTTATCCATTGTGTTACTCTCTGTGTCTTCATTGATAGATTGAACCCATTTACATTCAGTATCACTATTCATAAGTGTGAATTTACTGTCTTCTCTCTCTTTATCCCTCCCTCTCTGAAGAAAATCCTTGCCCTACATGCTCTGAAATGCCATAACTTTGCTTAAATGATTTCAAAGAATATCATAAAAACAAGTATAAGTATTATTTATTTTTATATATCAATTACTTATAAGCATTTGTATGTAGATTTTTGTGTTGTCACTATTAAATACCTTTATTATTATTAAAAACTTTTTTGAATTATATGAAAAAGTTCTGCTGGTTAGATAGAGAAAATTATCATTCGTATCTGAGTGACAGGCTCCTTCGGGAGTGTATATTTTACCTACATGGATGACACAGAAATCAATGTGCTATCTAGATTTCCTTGTCGTATGGAGATATTATCCCACCACAGATAGCACTGTACGTCAAGATGTTACTGTTATTGGTGGGTGCCACTGAGTTAGTTCTGACTCTTAGCGAACATGTGTACAATCAAAAGAAACACCACCAGGCCCTGTGCCATCCTCACAATTGTTCTTATGTTTGAGCCTTGAAATATTCTTTATGACACTGAATGTGACACCATTCCACTTGAATCTGTCATTCCCAGCAAAGTAAACCATATGATTGTCTGATGCAAAATGACCAATACCATCCATTTCAACTCACTATTGCCTAGAATATTCATCTTTATGGATTCGATTTCATTTTTGATGATTTCTACTCTTCCTAGAATCATACTTGGTACATTCCACGTTCTGATTTTCAATGGATGTGTGCAGCTGTTTCTTCTCATTTTGATTTGTGCCTCATCAGTAATTGAGGGTCATGAAAGCTTGAGACCATGCACAACATTACCTTACTGCACAGAGGCAACTCTTCCTCAGTTATATTTTGAGTGCTTTCCAACCTGAGGGCTTCATCTTCTGGCACTAGATATCACAATGTTTCCTTGATATTCATGAGGTTATCAGTGGCTAATCCCTCACGAGCCAAAAGTCTATTCATTCTTCATGATCTGGAAGTGCATTGAAATGTGTTCACGTTGGATTACCCTGCTAAGATTTTAAATGCCAGTGATAGAACTTCCAGCAACTCAGCAACATGCAAGCTACCAAAGAAAGACAAACTGAAAGACAAGTTGCATTCTTAGGATGGAAAAATAAAATTCCTTGGAGCAATTTTCCTGGCTATTTCTTCAACAGTTTCCCATTTTTAAAAAACTGTGTGCCCTGCGAGAAAAATCTATCAAGATGGCCCCTTTGGGATCCTCCCCAAAAGTCACCCTACCCTTCTGAGCTGACCTCTCTGACTCGAATTTATTTATTTAGTTTCATAGTTCAGTCATATTTAAAAAGAGCTGTATATACATCACCACAATCCATTCCAGTGCATCTTCCCTCTTCTGGTACTCGCCACTTGCTATCCAATTCTCCTCCATCTCCCCCAGCCATCCCATCAATTACTGTTTATAAACATCTGCGCTTTCTGTGTTTTATATGCAGGGAAACATATCAAAGACCAAAAAAAGATAAAAGGAAAGAAAAGACCACTGGATATATTAAAATAAAACCTCTGTTGAGAAACAAGCGAGAAATATTTAAACCAACAACAAATCCAGAATGGGTTAACAAAAAGATCAGCTGACAAAGAATCCTATTATACCATAGTTCCATCCACCATAATCAAGTTTACAATAATCTCTGTCTCATAATAAGGGGATTTATGTCCATCAACTGTGGTAGAATGGGATCCACCAGAGGCTTAACCCACGTAAGTACTTTACAGATGGATCTGGGGCTCCCACTCTCCTCCACAGCCTTCTAAAAATTAAGGGTTCACAATTTGAGTTCTGATACTTTTCACTCCATCGTATTTGGATTTTTCTTTTTGTCTTCTTTGGATCAGAGGTGGTATGCTTCTTCCATGTGGACTTAGTTGATGTCATACTTAGATGGCTGCTTGTTTAAATACAAGCAGATGCTTGTATTTAAGACCCCAGATGCTTTTCTTATTGATAGCCAAGTACCATGTGCTTTCTTCACCACACTTTCCTGGAACAGCCATATCTTCAGTGATCTCTTCATGAAAGCAAGTATCAAGCAAGGTCAGGTCACAAGAACTAAGTGTTCTTGGAGTGGAGGTAGATGTAGGAGCCCAGAATCTATTCACTTGCCCATGGATTATGTACAACTCTACTTTACCTTGGTGATCTCATTATCTTTTTATAACAAACAACATTTTCAATCATGCTACTGAGACATAAGCCAATTTCATTTATAGCATCAATCGTTTTATCTAATGGCATAAAAACATTGATACTATTGGGAAAAGAAGGTTATGCAAGTGTAACCCAACTGTGAACCTCAATCCATGAATTGTTGCTTTGTACATATTCATTCTTAAATGGTTGAGCTGTGTACATTGACCATAGGGGTTGGGGTTAGGGCAGTGGTTCTCAAACTTCCTAATGCCATGACCCTTTAATACAGTTCATGTTGTGGTGAGCCCCCTCTCCAACCATAAAATTATTTTCATTTCTATTTCATAATTGTAATTTTGCATAACTTTAATTTTGTTATGAATCGGGTGACCCCTGTAAAAGGATTGTTCGACCCCCAAAGAGGTCATGATCCACAGGTTGAGAATCGCTGGACGAGGGGGAAATTTCTAATAACATTCCTTTACAAGAGTAGATCTTTGCA